ATGTGGTGATTCATGCAGACAGAAGTTGGGTGCATGGCAATCAAACGAGACATTTGAAGCATGTGTTATCCAAGATGAGGATTTGGAGAGGGGAAATAATGGAATGAAACCAGTGTGGCTTGGGAGTGTGTAGAAATGCTAGCTGGCGTGGAGTCCATTGATAGAAACACTAAAATTTAGTGCGGCTATGGAATTGAGCGTATGCCGCTAGAGATAAAATTTATGTTGACCGATCTGGTAATCAGCGACTGGAATGGTGCGGACGAATAAGAAGATGAACTCCCATAAGTAGGTAAGATGACATCATCTGCCATAAGGTAGACACCTCACCAGTTGCAGAGGGCTGGTGGACTAGCAGGCGTTAAGCCAATGCGCAAGCGCAGTTGTATAACATGGGCGATGTGAAGGTTAGTCAGATAGATAAGGCAGCAAGGGTTATTGCCACAGGAGTACCTCATGGAGTCAATCACGATGTTAGTGAACCATGGAATCACGATAATTGCTAAGCCCGGTATTGTCTATTCAGAAGCGCCCCTTGAGTAGAGCGTCGGATAGTGTATAGAGGTAAAGATAAAGAATGACTGTCAGAATAATCGTCAGGGGTTGTTCAAAAATCGAAGCATGCCAGCGCACTGATGGCACGGCACTGCCATGCCCAGTCGAATAGCGTGCCCGCAAATATTTACATCCTACTTTTGATGATGCCTCGCCCAGTAGTACCCTTACGTACGACTGCGAACAAACTGTCTACCTGGACTCAGTCGCCTCTGGACCCAGTTTATTGTAGACCGCTGAACCTTCCGTTTGGATATAAACATCTCCTAGGCTTTCAATCATTGCTCCTCGCAACTTTATCATTTAATGCACAGTTCGTTTTCCGTCTTGTGCATGAGCACCAATCTCTCCCTCAATTGAATTTTTATGCCCGACTTTCACCAAGAGCGACACTAGTGGTTTAAGTGTGCTTCGTGCCTTTGAGAATCCTGCTACCATTTATGGGTACTGCTGACGCCTTGGCTTCATCACCCCCACTTACGCTTCCCTGGCCACACGCTTAGTAGTCCAAGGCGGAAAAAGCCTCATCGGTGCTTTTAGATTTTAGTTCACACTGACCAGTTAGATTGTGAAATTCCAGCCACGGCACCAGTTTTACTGTTCTGGTCCGCCATTTTTGCAAGCTGAGGTTATCTTATCACGCGCCGGGTAGGAGGCCTTTTTTGCCCTTAATTGCTCTGTTTTTGCCCGCCACCTTCAAATTTCAATGATCTGATCCTGTCTCTGCATAAAATGTTTTTCCAAAGGTAGGTTGAACCCTTGATAACTGTTCCCTTCGTCACGCTGGTTTAGACGCAATCAAGTCTATATTGGATATCTCGCGCAATTCCCAGTTCCCACAAATCCTCTGACTGTAACCGCATGACTATGACTGACGGTATGCCACCCATTAGTCGAGAATATACAATATTATTATTGCATGATGGTCAACAGGGAATGTAGGGCAACAAAAGGTTTCCAGGTAAACTTCATAGCGTCGTATTTTCGCAGGGAGATTGAAGGCAGGATTGTGCCTCGTTATCCATAAGGCTGAAACTGTCACCCACAAAATCAACCGTGACATTGTCGACCGGCGTTCGGCAGATATCGGAACATTGTTGGTTCTTTGTTTCTTATTTTCGACCGACCTGAGCTCAGCTTGATGCTGGACTGTCGGGCAACTCTCCCATCTCACAGACGACGTTCGCGCTAAGCATATTGGTCGTTGCGGTACATAGCCGTGGGCGATGAGACGGTTGCGGAATAGTATCCTGTCTACAACCCGCTCTGCGAATTTCGATATCCTAGCCCTGGAATCAGGGGTTTGCTTCAGGTGACCCCTCCGGATAGTGGACCCCGCGGGTCCATGGTCGTGGTCGTAAGAACCTCGAATGAATACTTGATGGATGCTCTACAGCACATCCGGGAGCTAAAATGCCCGGGAGCAACTATAGGTGCAAGTACTTGGTCTGGCCGGTCGAGATAGTAGGAACAAAAGCTGTCCGGCCCCACGTAGGTTGCACCGCAGTATCGGTTGTATTATTCTTCCGCGTCCATGCTGTGATAACCTCTGGCCGGATGGTCAAGCGACTTCTGGATTTTCCGTAGAAACGGTGCTCCAGCTGGTGACACTGTATCCGGCAGATCTGGACTGGACTTCGCTGAATGTGCAAACATGAATCTTCACGAAACTTTATCTGTCGGTTCCTTACCTTTGCGCTCACGAAACCTGCAATCTAGTGCGACAAGGACGGCTTCCACTCGGTCATTTGATTGGGGCGAAATGACAGAGAACAAGCTTGTATTTAATCATTTTTCAGACAGTTCCTGGGGTTATAATGAGGATCGAATACCGCTGTGGGATAAAGTGGTCCATAAAGTTACAAAGCTAATAATTAGGTGTGAGATGGACGATCGTCATTTTAGTTGAATGAACTCCTCAGTGGCAGAATTTCGGCCACTTGCCACTAGTATCAATTATGACCAGAAGGTTGGTAACTAACACACTTCATTCAACTAACGTTGTACTTCTTTTTAGAATGAACCGTGTCCCAGACACAAGAATCAGCTAGTGCCGTTGCTTTGGTTTGGTTCAACTAGGGTCTTATTGATTTTTAAGTGTGAACTGCGATCGTAAGTGATAAACTACCACGACAGGGGTTTTGGGAAGCAACTTGGCGGACCATCCCAACGGCCATTTAGAAGGTTTTGACAGCTTGATACACCAAAAATGGCGCACTTAGTCACGAGACCATCGTTGGGCTGCCGTGTCTTTTAGTCATGGCCAGCCCGAACCAGCGGAATGCAACAGTACGCCGGATCTTCCAAGGCCGTCGATGGACTGACATTCCACCTGGAAGTTACGTCTCAGAAAGAGAGCCGGAGGCGGTTGGCGACATGCCGCCGAGTTGGGAATCATGCAGACGAGATCTTGCTGGTAAGAAGCAACGCCTGTAGCATCCTTCTTGATTGCTTTATTAGTTTTCTTAAATGGGACTGCTCCTGTTTTGACATCGAATGGAACTGTAGTGTCTGAACGGACGGGAACACGTAGCCAAAGTCCTCGAGATTCTTCCACTACCATCACCTGCAGGTAAGTTTCAAGCAAGTAAATCTTCGCTAAACGTTTGTATCTGATGAGTTTCATGAATGCGTCAGAGAATGAGGTGGCACTGGGAACAGGGGAAATTTGTAAACAAACAGATTTTACCTGTGGCCTCAACCTTTACTATCGGTATGGCCAATGTCATGTTAATGCGCTACTGGGCGTCTACGCCCAAAAACCGATCTGCCGCAAATAGTCTGGTTTTTGCCCTTGTCTACTGTCCAAATCCATCGGGAAATATGAGTACATGGCGTGAGAGGAGTCGGTTTTGAGAGGCGCTCAGACTTTTGGGCAGCGTGGGATCTGGACCCCAAATAAGTGAGTTTGAGGTTGGCTGAAATTGGCTGTGCGACTTATCGATCCAAATCAATCACACCCAGCCAAGCCTGGTGCATGGCCTCTCGTAGAGTGTGGTTTGCAAAGTCGGAGTGTTGGAGGCTGTGGAGCAGTCAAACTCGCCAAAAGCATTGGTGGACCAGCAATATTTCGGCTTCGCCAACGTTTGTTAGATTGGCCCAAAGTTTATCACCAAACGCCTTGATGTCCGAGCTGCGAACTAATTTTAATGTTGCTCATATTTATTGCCACAAACGTACTTTGACAAGCGAAATCAATTTCAAAGGCCGCCATCACGCAGATGGCCTGCGATTTACGAGCTTTACAGCGGTGTGATGGCGGTCCCAAGGCCTCATTTCGATGGACGTTTTCGTTGCTACGATGACTGCGTTTCATAAGTTTATGACTTATAAACCGGTAATGATAAGCCAAATGGCGGCCACTGCACATAAACAGCGTTTGACAATTTTACGTTTTCATCCACCAGGCTTACCCTCGAACTGTCTGGGAAGAGCGTGAGGATTCCCTTGCATACAGCTGCCAAAAATGCATGAACGTTCACAGTATTGCCCTGGTTCAACTCGACGGAGACTCAACGTTTAGCTTTGGCCCCGCGTTTTCATATTAGCATCCTGTTGAACCCTGTGAGGAAGCTGGATTTTGATGTCTGCAGTTTGGGCCGACCGGAGGTGGGGATAGTAAACGAGGTTTGTTAAGCTGAAGCTGAAATGTTTGCATACCCAGAGTGGCAAAATTTTTAAAATTCATCATGATTTTTCTTAACTGGAATGATCACTGGTGACGGAAGCTGGATATCTATATCTGGTAACCGAATAAATGTAGCGGCTTCATCAAGAGTTCGATGAGCCGATTTGGAAAATTCAATTCTGTATATCGTCACTGTTCGTGTGGGGAGAGAATGTGTAACGATATTCTGACTTCGCATTATAAAAACGGTTTGAGCTTTTCTTCCCATCGAATGAAATCGGGGTCAGAAGTGTGTTCAGATTGGCGGTAACAGTGGATTTTTGACAGAGTTGCGGCCGTACCAGCTGAGGCCACTGAAGGCACGCTGATGCCGGCTGCTGGATTTGTGGTTCACACTCGCTAAGGCAAAAATTCTGTGTTCCGTCTTGGTTAATTGTAATGGTATGGCAGTCCACAAAGCTAATTTATCGGAGTGTATGATAGAGAAACAAAAATAATGGAGCTAGATTTAGTATACAATAACGAAGTACTGTACAAAACACCACACAATTAACACTACAATTTTTGCTGTCCTTAATCCTAGGGGCCGTGTCATGAACCTCGTATTGACGGTGGTGCTCCATTCCAATTCTGTAAGTCATCCCAAGCCAGTGCTTTAAGAAGTAGAACCACAGAGGGTATACGGTGCATGATACTCCCGAAAACGGGTCAGGCAACACAGCCCATCGTACTGAAGGTATAGGCATCGACAACATTCTGTAAGTCAGGCGGCTTCGGGGCGTATCATTGTAAGCTGGCTTTCGGCAAATACTGGAACATGGTTGACTGTTGGGTCTACATTTTCGACCGGTCGGAGCTTGGCTCGATGCTGGACTGGCAGGCCGCCCGTTATTCTGACCAATGGCATTCACTTCAAGCCTATTGGTCGTTACAGCGCATTGTTGTGGCTGATAAGGCGGTTGTGGTGTTGGCTTGCCCTCGGCACGTAAGTTTAGTGATCTGGAAGTGGTGACTCGACGAATATATATCGGGGAGTTTGCAGTCAGCCGTCAGGGTGAACGCGCTTTTCTGGACAGTCGTTTCTGGCCTTCAAATTAACCTGCTCATGAAGTCCACAAACCTGTGGACGTGCCCCGTTGTGCAGGCATGTTGGAAAGAACGAATCAGTCAACATAGTTGAACCGGTGCTTTAAGTCGAGGATCTCCAAGGTCTTTTGGGCCACTACACGCATATGGGTGCTATGCCGTTTGGTGGGTTCTGAAGATGTAGCCCACAGAGTCCTCAAAGTCTTCAAGGATTCTGGTCAGCCAGATTAGGGGCCTTTTTTACTCATAGGTGCTTTTACTTTTTTGCTTTTTTTTACTTTTTTGCCTCGCTCTTTGTTTTTTACTTCATAGGTGACCTAGAGTAAGCGTCTCAAGCAGTCTGGTCACAGCGAGAAGCTAGCTAGCCCCTCGGTGATTGTTGCACTCATCGTGAGAAACTGACTCGAGAACAGCAAGCGGGATTCCGGCCTGGTAGGGGTTGCGTTGACCAAATCTTCACACTGCGTCAGGTGCTAGAACAACGCCGTACGTATAAACGACCCACAATTATAGTATTCCTGTATTTCCGGGGTGCATTCGACTCGGTCGATCGGTCTGTTCTTCTTGAGACGCTTGCCCACCAAGGAACGCCCCGGAAGTTTGTAAACATAATACGTTCATTGTATTCTCAGACTTCGGGACGTGTGGGAGTGTACGGAGAGCTCTCCAAAACCTTCCGTACACAAAGCGGTGTCCGCAGAGATGCATACTCTCCCCATTCCTTTTTAACTTCGTGATCGATGCAATAATGAGACGAACGCTGGAGGGTCTTCAAAACCCTGGTGTTCAAATAGCCTGCGAGGAAAACCTTGTCGATCTGGAATATGCAGACGACGTCGTTCTCATGTTCGAAGAGGAGGAAAAGGCGCAAGTATTCTTGGATGAACTGACAAAAGTCATCCCGTCCTTTGGTATGCACTTTGCACCCACAAAGTGTAAGGTCATGCTTGTGAACTGAACACGCCACTTACAATCTAGGGAGAGGTACTGGAAGTTGTGGATAGTTTTACGTATCTTGGAAGTTGTATTATTTCTGATTGTAGTGTGACAGATGAGGTGAATGCACGAATCTGCAAGGCTCGGGCCGCGTTTGCTAACTTGAGACACCTATGGCGTCAGAATGGTTTATCCCTGAATCTGAAGGGACGTGTGTATGAAGCTACAGTACGGGCTGTTTTGTTGTA